TGAATGACCACTGCCAGACAGTTTGTGCGGTGGGTTACCCCTTACGGGCACGCCCAAAATGCCCCCCCCCCCAACACTACGATAGATTAACCGGCACTGTTCCTGTGGATGCGTAAAATACTAATACCTAGCACGTATGGAAGAGGCGATACTCTGCGGTTTCAGGAACAATTTGTTTTTTCAAAAACGCATTTTTAACCCCATAAAACGTTTTATGCCCAAAAATCAATTTCTTGTAACCGCAGTTTATCGCCTCTTCCATACGTTCTAGGTATTAGTATTCTACGCATCCTAGCTAAAAATTTAATTTTTTAGAACACGGGAACAGTGCCCGCTATCTAGTCTATTAGGGGTAACCCACCGCACAATCTTCTACTTTTCGCCTCTTCAAAACACGAAAGTCGAAAAGTAGAAGTTACGACAAAATGTGAGGCGATAGCACGCTATACAAGGCAAAATAAACTCGAAAATAGGAAATTAAGAAATAATACACTGCGTTTTTTCCTAATTTCTTATTTTCGACTTGCATTTTGGGTTGTGTACCGTCTTGTCAACGTGCGATGGCCATTTATAGTTTCATAGACTCTAGTGCTGAGTATTATCATACTGCGTGGTTAGCCAGAAATGACTTCGAGACAAACCACTGAGGCGTACACATTGGCTCTGTCGAGTCCAACTTTCTGTAGAGAAAATTTTCAATGCACGAGTCACCCTATCCATAGGACAGATTTAACAATGATGTCGTTGTGTAAAGTTCCTCTTTGTCAATTATCCATAATTCTATCAGTGGATATAAGTTTGGATATGCTATGGGAAACAAGCAACATATCTGTAAATATGTCTTTTATGATTTGATATGTCCCTGATCTCTGATCTATAATTATGTAGTATATTAGCAGTGCAATATTATGCAATATTGATCTATATGTATTTTATTATCAGCACCGTGTATGTGTGAAAAAGTTTTACTTAACGTCCGCTTGTGATATCAGTGCAGTTTGTGTATATCGCAGTCCTGAAATATTTACAGTGCAATGTGTGTGAAATAGCTTTATTTAACGTCCGCTTCCACCGAGGTGATATCGCAGACAGTGTTATGCTATAGGGTTTATTTCAGTTATAAGAAATGTGTTCTGTTTAATATAGAAATTCGTTACCTACATGATGTGTGACGAAAACTAGGGCAATGAAGTAGCTTGCGTTATTCTACTATTATCTTAGACTAAATCACCGACAGTTATGTCAGTATCCATTGCTGGAAGTAGGGTACTATAGTCCAGCCATCTCGTGCACGAATTAGTACAATTAACTAGAATAGTGTTGACGCAAAACGGTGCCTATACGAAACACTGAAGCAAAATGGTAATTGTCCCGCCCTAATAGATGACGCATTATAATATACTATTCAAAAAAAGTAGGGGATATTTGATTTTTAAGTGTTATTAAAGTCACCTAATGAAACTGACGAAGAAACAAATGACAAAATGAAATGAAGTTCACATTCATCGATTTATTCCAAATGATCGTTAGACTAAGTAAGGCACAGACTGACCATTATAAGGGTAAAATGATACCCGGGGTCAAACAGCAAAGTTACCACAGCATCACAACCAAGTCAGTAACGGGTAAATCCTCCTCTGTTTGCCAAACAAGCATTGATCCGACGTGGCATACTCCTAATGAGACGTCTAAGGTCATTTTGGTCCAGATTGTCCCATTCCTGTTGCAACGCAGCAGCAAGTTCTTGTTGACGTTGACGTAACCTCTGTCCAAGCTTGTCCCAGAAATGCTCGATGGGGGAGAGGTCGGGACTCAGTGCTGGCCAAGGTAATGTGGTGATGTTCTGTTGTTGGAGGTAACCTGTAACAATCCTGGCCCTGTGACATCTTGCGTTGTCATCCTGGAAGATGAAACGGCGGCCATGACGTCGTGCGAACGGCACAACATGGACTGCCAAGATGTTGTCCCGGTAGTACTGGCCTGTAACACGCCCTGCAACAACATGTTAAGCCGTTCTTCCAGCAACAGTGATGCCTCCCCACACCATAACAGAACCACCCCCAAATCGATCATGTCTGATGACGTTAACGTCTTGGAAGCGCTCGTTTCGACGACGCCACACCCTCCTACGTCTGTCCAAAAAATCAACAGTGAACCTTGACTCATCTGAAAACATCACATTGCTCCAGCGTCGATTATCCCAGTGTTGACGATCCCTACACCAACGACGTCTTGCCTGAATGTGATGATCTCTCAAACAAGGGATCACGCGAGGACGTCGGGCGCGAAGGTGACCCCTATGCAGTCGATTCCGAATCGTCTGGCCACTCACTCTCACACCAGTGTCTGTTTGAAGACGAGCGCTGATCTGATTTGCTGTGATGACACGATTTCTCAAGGCCAAGGTACGGATAAATCGATCCTGGGCTTGAGTTGTCGCCCTTGGTCGACCTGAGCGTGGTCTGTCCTGTACAGATTGTGTATCACGGTATCTGGACCATAGCCTGCTTATGACAGACTGAGAAACATTCATCGTCCGCGCCACAACCGCCTGTGTTGTGCCGATCTGTAGCATGCCAAGGGCACGTAACCTTTCATTTTGGGTAAGCCGACGCATATCAAAATTTGTTTTCTGGTCACTAAAACAATTAAACTGATGTTTCCACCCTGGAATTCAATGCCACAATGACTGTAACATTCAAAGTCAGAGTCGTGCAAATCTTGGGTTGGACCCCCATGATGATCCCAAGCATCACCTGCATTCCATGCGGTAGCTATTGGTGCGTTTGGGCGTCACATGTAACTGGAAATGTTTCTTCTGTTAGGTTCTATAGTGACTTTTTTCGTAGTCATTTGCATATTTTAGTATTATGCCCCCAAAATCAAATATCCCCTACTTTTTTTGAATAGTATATCTATATAGGAGAGATATGGTTTGATTTACCTTCAGATATCATAGAGCGGCCCGAGAGGGGGGCATCGTAGCCTCCTCGGCTTAGAGGCTAGGGTGAACACATCATCCTAGCGCGAACCTTATGTAGAACTATCAAGAAGTATGTGGCTCTTGCCACGTTTAAGCCGTTCTGGTCTGAGTTAGAAAGGATATTAAACCCAGACCGTGGATATTTTAGTAACTCGAAAAGTAATTCCTTTTTGGTGCCGTGACGAAAGATAGTCACATCGGTCCCATTCCTTTTTGTTGCCGAGACACGGGATAGTGTTACAACAGTGCAATATTGAACTATATGTTTATTATGCCCACAATATACTTGTGTGTGTATTACAATTGTAATATTAGAGTAGTTCACGCTCAATAATTTGTCCTTATAAAAACTGACACGCTAATCTTTCTGTCTGCACCATCGATGAGATTTTCGGGAGTGAGCAAAGGTTAATCTCGCGCACGTGGGTTCGGAGATCGCAGCAAATATACGTTACAAACAGCTTTTAAACAAACAAGTATTGGTATATAAAGCCGAGTTAAAGCGGACGTAAAATACAACTAACTCACACTCACACATACACCCATTACGCGCTTCGACTTTCGTGGTTATTTTTCAGCGAACGTGAACAAAAAATTTTGATTGTACTCATTTAATTTTTGATTTTGGTGATTTAGGTGTAATAGCTTCGTTTCATTTCTAACTTTCAAACTCATGAGTGCAGCAAGATAAACTCATTACAACGCTTTGAGATTTACTTTTATTTAGTGGTTACAACCTTCGTTTACGTGCCGCTCTCGTGAGTTTAGGAAATAAATATTTGCTAGCTCTAAATACGCAGAACTATTTGAGACCGCAAAATAACCGAAACAAAATTTGTATTTGTAGTCTTTATTTTCCAGACACTTTTCGGAAACTTAGTGTAATTATTTTTAGAGTATTTCATTTAATTATTTTGTATTTTCATAACAAACATCATACGGCACAATATATTTATTTATCTGCGAGACAAAAAAATAAAGTTAGTGTTAAATTATTAGATATATAGAGGTATTTATCCATCGCTCTCCGTATTACATGTCATTATATTTTCTTCTACTTTATCCGACATTGTTCTTTTTTCATAACAAATATACTGCACAATATATTTATTTATCTATGGGACTAACATTAAGGTGTTAAATTATTAGATTTATAGATATCTCTCTCTCTCTCCTCAAAACATTGCAATTGTCGGGGAATACCCTGGCTATAAAAAATCGATCAAAGGAGGTCATGTTTGTGTCACGTGACTTACCTCTCTCGGTACCTAGCAACGCAAGCGAAGTCGGAGTAGAATTGATTGCATACAAAAGACAATGTTGTCTTTAATCGCTGACTATTTATTACAAATATCGAAACCTAATTAAATTTTCAACTATCCACTACCCGCGTCTTTTTCCGTGATTTTTATTTCAGAAAGTGTTGTACGTGCAACCTTCGACTTCACGCGTGCAGCGTGGTTTGAGCGTGTAGGCTGCTCATCATTGGCTCCTGATATTTTAAGTTTCTTAGTCAACATATTTATTTTTACTCTGTGAATGTTTGTGTGTCGTTTTATAGTAATTTGTATCTTATGTTACGGTCTTGATTGTGGAATATGTTTCTAATTTCAAGATATACGTATGTAACTTTTGTCATATCTACTTAAAACAACTTTATAGTGCCCAATCAAGCATGAATGTGTCTATTTTTATACATGGTCATGTTAACCAAGAGTTCACCTGAACGCAACTCTACGAGTGTCAAATTACTTAGATGGACACAGATCACCAAATATTCCTACGCCGTCACCCACGAAACAAGGGCCAAAGCTGTTTTTAGTCATCCTCTCCCTTTTCCTTTTTCCCCCTTTTGCATGGCGATTTTTGTTGACTTTTTGGTGTAGAATCGAGGAAAAGGGTTTGAAAATACATTTTCTGCCAGGTTTTGGTAAATATTCATAATTTTGATGCGGAAGGATACAATAGTTGAGGGGTTGGTTAGGTTGAAATGTAGGGCCTGAAATTGCATGTTTACTTGTCTCTACTTCAAGCTTGTGTATCTCAAGTTTTTCATGAAGAACCTCATACGTGCTTTTGGGCAAGTGGTTGCCACACGTTGCTCCATCTGTGGTAGAAAGCGTTCTACCCAACGAAAATTTGGGAAAAGGTTAGAGCCGGTCTAAGATACGAGAATTAACATTGGAGTCAATGGGGAAATCTTTAGTGATCTGTGTCCAGATACACTAGTAGAGAACTAATCCATGTGTCTAATAATATAGCCACGTCTTATAATATCCGAATATACAAAGAAGTTAAATTTGTTTCAAAGTATATTTTAAAGCATAAACCAACCAGAAGGAAGGAATCTTCTAAGAGAAATCTAGCCAATAGCCTACCTCATTCAGATCAGCCCTACTCATGTAAGTGAAATTTGTAATTAAATGTCTAATTAAAGAGGCCAAACGAAAGATCTACATTAGACAGATTTAGCACTTGAATGATGAATCTTTAAGGTTCATGGATCACAATCCCTTACTCTCTTTTTTTATATCCGGCAACTATTGCAAACGTGAAATTACAATTTTTAAATACATTCGCGAAAGTAAAAACGTACAAGCCGATTTCCCAAAACGATGATCCTTATAAGAAGAATAAAATTGACAGAGCATTAACTGTAACAAATTCGGAACAGCTACCCTTAGAGGTTAACGATATCGATGGGCAAACCATCGACATTGATGATGGAAAGTCAGGATTGCCATTAAAATTGTAACCTGGGGACATATTTATCGTAGATTTTCAAAGCCACAACGCGTGGAAATACGATGTCATTAACATGCAGTTTATCCGGAACATAGCGTCGTCGAGCGCTGAATATCGAAAGGGTTCATTCTCCCTCGACCCCAATCCTTTGCACAAAATTTATTAAAGAAAATTGGTTAAAAACTGTAGACTATATTCTTGATGACCCCAATGCTTTGCACAAAATTTGAAAAAAGAGCCTTTCCTTTTAAAATATTATAATTGTTATTCGTTGTGCCTATTCTGGATCCAGAACTTTTTGATACCGTACATCACCTGTGTGGAATAAGCTTTTTCAGAATCTGTCAGATAAGGTGATTCTGTTTTTTAATCTACGCCTTCTATTATAATCTTTATTCGTTGTGCCTATTCTGGATCCAGAACTTTCTTGATACCGCACATCACCTGTGTGGAATAAGGCGTTCGTTCGTTCTTGGTGTTTAACGCCTGCTTCCACATAAGTGATATCGCAGACAAGACATAGGAGAGCCGAAGCTGATTCCTGTTTTTTAGAATATGATTTTGCAATCTTTCCATTTGGCCGTAGGCCATGGATTTGGTTTAGTGGGAAGTTCTTCCCTTTATTTAATCCAAAACATATCGTTTGGTAGATGATCTCGTCTGCTTCTGGATTGGTAGATGTCATCGTTTGGGGTTAGTGTTTAGGTGCCAGGCCCGTCTTATCGTGGCCTCCCCTTACTCAACTGTCCCACTCTCTGGGTTTAGTATCAGTTTTATTTGCGGAATAGTGTTTAGGTGCCAAGTTCGTCTGACCGTAACTCCCCCTTACTCCACTATCCTGCTAGTTTGGTAGATGTCATCTTTGTAGGGTTTGTGTTTAGGTGCCAGGCCCGTCTTATCGTGACCTCCCCTTACTCCACTATCCCACTCTGTAGGTTTGGTGTCTGTTTTTGGTGGAATAGTGTTTAGATGCCGAGTCCGTCTGATCGTGACTCCCCCTTACTCCACTATCCTGCCAGTTTGGTATAAATCCCCTATGTAGTTTAGTGTTTAGATGCTGGGCCCGTCTAACCGTGACCCCCTCTTACTTCACTATTCTACTTAGTCCAACTGTGTCCATTAGGGCGTGAATTTGTTCGAAGATTTGCAGTTTCAGATCTGGTCTCGGGAAGAGTAGGTTCTTCGTGTTGAATGGTATGTTGTTGGTCTCCATTGTTCTCACTAGTTCCCTTCTCTCCTCCTCGTATACCTCGCAGTCTACCAGGACATGGTTGGCGGTACATTCTTCTCCGCACTCACAGATGATGACTTGGTGTTTGTAGTCTCGCAGCCGCTCTTTCACCCGTAGCTTCGATATAAGTCTACAAATATCTCTTCTAGGGTGATTGAGTGTTGTCTTTGTGTGGATCTTGTCATCCAGTCGGAATCTGTATGTGTCAAGTTCAACGAGATTTAATTCCCAGATTGAATTGACGTGTCTTTTGACCATACTGTAGATTTCCGTGGTGCTGTAGTCTATGGTGCGGAGTGGTGCTGTGTCCTTGAGACTTTCATTGGCGAGTCGATCTGCCTCCTCGTTTCCTCTAATGTTGACATGTGATGGAATCCACACGAGTTCTACCTTGCTTCCCTTCTCTAAAACCCTTTGGTACAGCTGCCTGATTTCCAAAATGACTTCTGGTCTTGAGTCCGAGTTGTCATTTTGGATTGAAATCAGACTGCTTAGAGAGTCGCTTGGAATGACGAACTTACTAGTCTTTTGATGGGAAATCCATGATATAGCGTCACGAATGGCCACAAGCTCTGCAGTGTACACCGAACAGTTATTGGGCAGTTTCCTGCTTATTCCCTGTTCCCCGTTTGGCAGGTATATTCCAAACGAGCTGGTGCCCCTTTCAGGATTGCGAGAGCCATCCGTGTACACATGGTCCCAGTCATCAGACGGCCAGTTGTCTTCCAGGTGTTCTAGAGAGAAAGCACGTGCAGCAGTGGGGTTGTTTTTCTTGTCGGTTTTCTGTAGTAGATCTAGATTAACCGGCGGTATAGGGAGCGTCCAAGGGGCGATCACTGGGGGGTCGTGTTCATTTATCACGAGCTCCCCCAGTCGCAGTTCCTTGATTGTTTCCCTGATACCCTGGCCGAAGCTTTTCTTTCTAGGATCTCTCACATATCTTGTATTTTTTAGACTGACAAAGGTTGGGGATCTTTCGCCCAGTTGCGAGATCTTAGCCCAGTACCTTGTTGCTAGTTCTTTTCTTCTTAGGGATAGGGGCAACTCCCCGACTTCCTGCAGTAGTGCCTCTCTCCCAGTCCCTTGCCCTACGCCAGTCGCAATACACAGAGCTTTATATTGGATGGTGTCAAGCTTCCTTAAGAGTAATGGCGCGCAGTTCATGAAGGCCAGAGAGCCGTAGTCTAATACAGATCGTATTAGAGCACGATACACCATCATTAATAGTGTGACTCTGTTGGCACCCCAAGTGCTGCCCGTTATTTTCCTCATTAAGTTTAGGATTTTGGTGCATCTATCTACAGTCTCGTCGATGTGCGGTTTCCAGGTCAGCCTTCGGTCAAAGATTACGCCAAGGAACTTGGTTTGGTCTTTAAACTCGATGGTTTTCCCGTTCATACACAGAGTCATTCTGCTTATCCCTCTATCCCTGCTTACAAGCATGCCGCATGTTTTCTTCTCCGAGACTTTGAATCCCCAATCGTTTGCCCATGCCACGAATTTGTCTAAGGCCTTCTGCATTTTCTTTTGTAGTTCACAGAAGTTCCTCCCTTTCCTCCATATGGTACTGTCATCAGCAAATTTAGCTAACTCAGTTTTGGCGTCGAGGTAGGACGATTTCTGTATGTCGTTGATCATGATATTGAAGAGAGTGGGACTGATAACCGATCCCTGAGGCGTGCCATTTTCTAAAGTTTGCTCGGAACTTAGGAATCTGCCAACATTCACCTGTATCTTTCTATCGCTCAGAAAGCTTTTGATCCACCGAAACATTATGCCCGTTATACCAATACGTCCTAACTTGAAGAGCAGCCCGTCTAGCCAGACTAAATCGAAAGCCTTAGTTAAATCTACGAACACGACACATAACAGGTTCCCAGAGAGGAGTGTCTGCGACATGACTTGCTGTAGTCTCACCAAGTGGTCCGTTGTTGAACGCCCTTTCCCGAACCCGCTTTGATTTTCGTCGATCAGTCGGTTGCTCTCCAGATAGAACTGTAGTCGTATGTTAACCATTGTTTCCAAGGTTTTGCACAGTGTGGATGTCAAACTTACTGGTCGATAGGACTCTGCCTTTGTTCTCTCTTTACCTGGTTTTGGGAGAGGGATGACGTTGGCTTTCCGCCATTCTTTAGGTACCTCTCCTGCCAGCCAGGATGTGTTGAAGAAGTTTAGTAGTATCCTTTTGGCATTTCTAGGCAGATGTTTGAGCATCGAGTACTTTACTTTGTCCTCACCAGCCGCACTATCCTTCTTGAGGGAAAGAGCCTTATTTAACTCCTCCTACAGAGAAGGGTAGATTGATTGGTTTAGCCCCTTCATTAGGTTCAATTTCTAATGAAGGGTGCTGTGAGTAAAAGATTTCCTTTCTCTTCAGAAACTCTGGTGATTGGTTTTCGTCCCTGCTTGCGTCAGCGAAAGCTTTTGCAAGTAGATCTGCCTTTTCATTGCCGTTGGTAACGTACTCATCTCCATTCTTTAGGTTTGGTATGTTGAATGATCTGCGCTTCCCGTTCATGGCGTTCAGCTTCTTCCAGACGGCACCTGTTTGCGTGTTTTGATTCAACGCATTACAGAATGTCATCCAGTGTCCGCTTTGTACCTTCCGGATGGTGTCTCTTGCGGCGTATTTCAACTTCAGGTAGTTTTGGTGATTGACTTCATTGTAGTGGCGTTTCCGTAGGCGTAGTGCCTTCTTTCTTTCGTTAACCGCCTTCTGACATTCTGGTGACCACCGAGGTTTTCTAATCCTTGATTGCCCTCCAGAAGTCTTGGGAATGGAGTCGTCTGCGGCACCTATAATAGCACTCGTGATGTTGGCTGCGTACACGTCGATGTTGGCATCGATGATGTCTTCTTCTTTCCACCCAAGGCAGCCTACACGGAAGTTAGCCCAATCAGCCTCTTTCATTCCTCGGTGACCCCCACAGGACATGTTTTGCGTTGAAATCCCCGCAAAACACAAATTCGCCCTGCGGAAGCTGGTCGAGAAGTGACTGGAAGTCAACTGGTTTTCTCGTGACTTCTGGGGGTACATAGACATTCACTATTGTCAATTTTGTATTATTGCTCAATGTGATGGCTATGTCCATTGCTTCTAGAGGGTTCTCTACGTCCAGCGAAACAGAAATATAATTTAAGTTATCACTGACGTAGATGGCAAGACCACCGCCACGTGTCGTGCTGCCCGGTCTGTCCCTTCTCTGACAAGTGTATCCGGGCAAGTAGATGTCGTTCTTGGTTGGTAGTAGCTTGGTTTCTTGGAGGCATATTACATCTTTGGGGTTGCGGGTGATGTATTTTCTGAGCTCAGCACATCTGGGGGCCAGTCCATTAACGTTTAGTTGTAGAACTTTTACCTGGCATATCGCCAGTGCTGTAGTGACGAACATGAGATATCCTTCTACGGAGTGCGAGGTTTGCCGT